TGCATGGCCTTCTCCACCGTCTCCTTCTCCAAGTGGAGCCCAAAGAACTTCTTGGCGCCCACCATGTAGTGCTGGGAGCGCAGGGCTGCCATGGTGACCAGGTGCCCGCCCGGCTTCAGCAGGCTGACCAAGCTCCGGATCGCTGCCCGGTAGGCGTCCGCATCAGGACAGGCACTCTCCAGGGCCAGCAGGGTCAGCACGCAGTCAGCTGGTGGCACCTGGGCTGGTGCCAGGGGGTGTGGCTGGGTCACATCACACTTCAGTAACTGAGTGACTGTCCTTCGGAGCCGTGCCTCCTTCTCCTGACACCTGCTCCTGTGGGGAAGGGTCATGGAGTTGAGGATGAAAATTGTGACAGTGGCCCCCAACCCTTACCACTGTCCAGAGTGATTCCTGTGGACTAGGAGAGTGATTTAACCTGTTCAGCAACTCTCTGAAGGAGATTATATTCCCCCCATTATATGGATGAGGAAACTGAGGCCCAGAGAGGTTAAGTGATTTGCTCAAAGCTATACCGGTGGTAGGTGATAGTGAATTTAACATTTGATTCCTCTTTCGTCTTCTTCCTCTTCCTACTTCTTTTTCTCTTTCTTCTTAATAATTCAAAATAATTCAATTTTTGGTCCATTGCATTATTAATTTTTTAAGTTGTAAATATATATAAGAAAAATTTGCCATCTAAACAATTTTTAGTGTACATTACAGTTCAGGGGCATTAATTGCATTTACAATGACTGCAACTGTCCCCATGTCTGCTTCCAAAAGTTTTTATCCCCCCATGTGGAAACTCTATACTCATTAAGCATAAGTCCCCGTGCCTCCTCCCTACATCCCCTGGCTCTTTAAACATGCAGATCCTTCTAGGTCACTTCCCTCTCTAGTGTTCTTGAAATTCATACTAGAGCCCACACTCCTCACCTTGGCCCTCTACCACTTCCCAGACTCCTGACTCTGCTTTTCACTTGCTCAACCCAAAGTCACCTTCTTCTAGGTCCCTAAATTCACAGCCAGCTCTTTCTCCCTGATGGGCCTTTGCCCATGCTGTTCCGTCTGCCTGGCACTCTCTTTCCTCACATCTTCACATCTTTTCTCCCTCACCTCACCCAGGAAGCTGCTCTGGGGGCTCCTCCTTGGAGAGGCCGTCTCTTACCATCTGCTATGGGCTGAATTCTGACCCCCTCAGACTCATATGCGGACATTCTAACCCTCAATGTGATGGTATTTGGGGATGGGGTCTTTGGCAATAATTAGAGTTAGATGAGGTCACGAGGATGGGGCCCCTCAGGGTGGGATTTGTGCCTTTAAAAAAAAGTGACACAAGAGCTCGCTCTCTCTCCTTGTCCTCCATGTGAGGACACAGCAAGAAGACGGCCGTCTACAACCCAGGAAGCGGGCCCTCACTGGACCTGACCTGATGGCTGGTAACCTGATCTTGAACTAATAGCTCCCAAAACCATGAGAAATGAATGTCTCTGTTTAAGCCACTGGTTTTATTCATTTTGTATGTCTGCCCAGGGTGACTAAGACACTGTCATACTTAACACAACAGCCTTACCTCTCTTTAGGCCTCTACTCAGGTAAAGATTATTCACTAAACACTAATTTTTCCTGAATCTCAATTTCTATCTAATGTGATTGTGTTGACTTCACTACTAGAAAGTCAGCTCCATGGAGCCGAGATTTTGTTCACTGCGATGTCCCCAGTACTTAGAAGTGAGAGGG